TCTGGCCGATGACCAAATCTTAGACCCCTCTCCTAGAAACTTTTCTGGTCATTATTTGGAGCATCCAAGCTTTACTAAATTTAGTTTCTTGTTCGAGAAGATATAATGGAGCAGAAAAATCTCCTTGTGTGTCATGTGCCTATTAGATCTGTTATCTCGATGATAATTAGGATAGTTTACCTTCAATATTTCAGCTTCCATTTTTTTTCTATTTCTCTTTGAGACAACTTCTATTTGCCCTGTTGATAAAGAGAGCCATGATTTCTCTCATTTATCTGATAAGCTCTAGAAGAGCAACTGTGGGTAGTGAAACATATTACAGCTTCTAATTGGTGCTTCTTTTTTTTTCTGATTAATTGATAGAAATTTGACTTTGAGTTTTTATTTCCCAAGAGAAATTCTTTAAATTTTCCTTAAACAGGACAAGATAGCTGACAATATTTATTTACATAGTTAAGAATATATCCATTTTGGTGGAACGTGATGGAATTTATTACACATTTTAGCTGCTCCTGATGTCATTATTCACTGACCCTGTTCTGAGCTGACTGAACCCTGGCCCGGCCAGATGGCTTGATAAAGATCTGCCAAGGCATTTCTCAAGAGCTGCAAAATACTAGGGTTGACTGTCATCCACAAGGACCTCCTGTGAGTCACCTTCCAAGATACCTGAGCACATGAGCATGCAGGGTGTCCTATTATGTTCGCCAGCCAGGAGCACCAGTTCATGCTAGCTGCTTCTAAGTCTGAGGATCAGTTGTAGTGTTTTTAAATTTTTCCGACATTTTTTTTTTATGATGTGAAAAAGGTGAGGCCTGACCTTTTCTTATAATTGCAGTGGGGCTGAAGATGTTAAAGAAAGAACATTATAGAAACCCAGCGCTGCCACTTACTTTTGATGTGGCTCTCGCTGAGATACTTCTTTGTGCCTTGGTTTCCTCATCTTTAAAATGGGGATAATACTCCTTCACAGGGTTGCAAAGACTGAGCTAGATAATAAACACCAGCACTTAACACAGTGCTGGGAACATGAGCTCTCAGTTAACTGCTGAAAGTATTATGATTTGGATTTAGATATGATTCAGTCTCTTGTCGGATTAGAGATATGATTGGAAAGTATAACATTTGAGGAGGCAGACATGTGGGTCACTCTTCTCGAGTCATATTGTAAACTACTTTCCAGATAAACCAAGTAACTTAAATGTTCTTGCAGATTGGGTTTTGATTTTGCAAAATATAAGTAACTTAAATGTTCTTGCAGATTGGGTTTTGATTTTGCAAAATATGTGAGAAATAACCCTTCATTGAAGGAAGGAAGGAAAGAGCTGGGTAATAGAGAAGAGAAAGGAAGCTGATTTTTAAAATTCTGTTTTTACTTAAGGATTTTCAAGGGAGATTTTAAAAAGAGCTCCTTTAATCATTGCCAGTATAATTTTTAAGGGGAACATTTTTTAAAAATTTATTTTATTTTTTCCCATCACCATTTATCCCCCCTATGCCCTCTCCCACCTCCCTTCTCATGACTGTATTGATCACGTGTCATGAACCAGTGGCAGTCTGTTCAGAAACAGCTTTCAGAAAAGTCTTGGGACTGTGTCCATCAAGCCCCACTTGTTTGTCCTTGTTCCAGAGGAAATATGAAGTTCCATTTCCAGAGGTATTAATATTCGGCCAAAAACCACATTATAGGAGTTAGCGTTAGACCTACAAATTCAGTTGATTCCTTCTAGCAGGTCACTTAATACGTGAAATGCAGTTATGAAGCTGAGGGAAAAAACATTAAGACCAAGAAGGAAGATAATCACAATATAACTGAAGGCCATTTTGGCAGTCATTTTCAATAAACAAGGTAGTAGTCACTTACCGATTATATCCTGTATCCTCACTCTCTGATTTGGAGCCAAGAAATGGACAGTGATGGGAGAGGGGGCGTATGTGGAAGGAAGGAAGAACCGCAGGGGGCTCTGTGTGATGGGGCTGGTTCCTTAGACTGGAGGGACAGGATATTGACGTCAGAGCCACTTCTGAATGTTTTCATTTTCAGAAAGAAACTTTAGAACTGAGCAATAAAGAAAGAAAAATTCTTTTCAGAGACATAAATGACATGGAAGTTAATTTCAGAAGTATTGGAGAAGTAATACGAAGTGTTTCAAAGATATATAAGTGAAAGTGGGGTCATCACAGGCTGACTGCCTGTTTCTGGGGTTTGCTCTCTCCGACTGGCTATAGAAAATGCTATATTGAGTTTTTGCTATAAAGAAAGAAATGTTATTTAATTTTTACTTTAATCCCCACTGAAAAATACATGTTTCTAACTCCTTCAAATGACCTCTTATTGAAAGCATCCCTCTGCAAGAGGAAACCGAATGACCACACTTCTGTTTTCACAGATACACACAGCCCTCTTAAGGCGCGTTAACACAAGCCCAGGAGAGGCCTTTAGAATAGGATTGTCCTTGAATTATCTCCCCCGGCTGAGTAAAGCGGAAAGTTACTAGCAAATGTCACAGGCACGATTAAACAGCTGCGACCCAGGATAGGAAAACACTGAGCGAACAGTCCCACCCGCTCAGCCTGAACCCTGTGGACTCTGATTTCCTGGCACTGGCATCCCCTCACCAAGCAGAAGGGCTTCTCAGCCTCCAGGGCGCCTCTACATCAGCCTACCGCTCACGGATCGCATCCGTGTGTCAACACTTCCTCCCCTGGGGGGATTCCGCGTGCCTCTCTGGAGCATGTCCGTCCTGCCATTTTCCAGCCCCCCAGTTCTAATTGTCAGATTTCTTTCACGATGGGGTCCCCAAGAGTGCTCCGGGGAGAGAACTTAAGACTGCGGCCCTCATGTCTGCACACGGACCGTGGATTCTCTTTCTCTTGCTGGGATAATACTTTTGAAAATGATCCGGCCCAGCCCAAATCTTAAAGCCCTTGAATTTGCCTACGTGCACGAAGCTTAGCTGACATCCATTGTATCCTTTGGAAGGTCATTTCCTACAATTCTGATGAGACTTTTCTAGCAATTTTTAGGATCCTCCAGGATGGCCCCTTTGATCAGTCAGCTTGCACAGGAACAGCTTAGCTGCGTCCAGTCTGTACTCTCAACCTGAGTCGTGTCTCAGCCCCCCAGGCAATACATTTGTCTCATGGGTTAGGAGGAAACCCAGGTCGTCAGGAGTTCTGAGATGGAATATCCACTGATACACCAGTGAACGGTGAACCATCTCTTCTGTCCATTCTATTGATGAGTGTTCCTAACACCCCATATCACTAAGGCCCCCCGTAATCAAAGGGGTATTTGCCATTTATCAGGTTTGGAAAAGTGAAATGCCTACATCGGTGAAAGTGCTGAGGGATTTCCTGTTCCCTGCATGATCTCAAAAGTCCCTGCAGCTCTAACTGGTATGAGGTCTGTGCTTCCAGTTGAGGAGAAAATGGCAGAAATAGGCTTAGAGATGAATAGACATCTGCCAATAACTGCACCATGTGCAGAGTGAATGGATATGGCTGATTCAGTAACTATGTTGAACTCTTACATGAGCCACTTCTGGATTAGGTCCTGGCATAGAACAGTGCCTACCCTCATGGGGCCTTCATTCCAGCGGCCTGATCTGGGAGACCAGCGCTCCCAGGACCACGTGACACTCAGCCCTCGCTGCTACTTTTTGGGGGCTCCGTGCCCTTTAAGCATTCTGGGGACACTGCCTGAGAAGCACATTGATCAGACTGCTACCTTCATAAATAAACCCAAATTGGCTCTCGTTTTCTATCACCCCACTGGGTGTCTGCCCCTTAGACTATTTTGTTCTCTGCTTGATTCTTTATTCCAGCACCGTGTTCATTTCTAATCAGACTGGAAATGGAATATGCATTGGGGACTGTCTGGAACGGGAGCCTAATTATTTATCATGTTGTCTTCCCTCCTTTCCTTTTTAGACTCCACCACCTACATAGATTTTTGGATGTGTTTATCACATATGCCCTACTTGGCTCTCTTTACAAAAACCCTAGAAAAAAAACCACTTTTCTGCCTTCATTTTTCCAATACTTTCATCTTAGTCTTTCCAAGAGGCCATAAAAATAAATCAATTATACTTTAAACAGCCATTTACTGAGCTCTTACTGAGCACGGGGCAAAGCTTTTGACCTGTATGACCTTGTCTGATTTTTGGAAACTATTTGAGGCAGGTGATATTAGCATCCACTTTTATAGCTCTAAGAAGTTAACGAAGAGGTCCCAGATTACATGGTTCATACAAAACATTTTTCAAAGAATACCTCCAGGGAATTCTGATGTATGGTATGTGCATTACAAAATTTCAAAACTTGGTCTCCTTATCATGAGTTTGAGTGGTTTGCATTAAAATGAGGAATATCACACTGGGTCAGAACCAGGGTTTGCTCTGGCCTTTGTTGTGCCTTGGGCCATTGCTATGTTTTCCCAGAATAAGAGTATTTCCTTACGTGGTCACTCAAAAGGTAGGAATGTGGTCCCTCTATCAAGTGAGTTAGGCACTTCTTTCTCTGTGGCCCATCTGGACCTTATTTATACAGGCACAGCACTTAGCATGTACATTATAGAATATTTGTATACATATTTATCATCCGTCCAACATGTGAGCTCCATGCAGTCCTGGGCCACGCCCTTCATCTCTGAAGCCCGGTGCTGGGCGCACATTGGCATACAATGAATGTTCATGGAATACACAACATTTTTAAATTTCCTAAATATCCTTGTTATGAACTAATATAACCATTAGTTATAGAAACTTATTATATATTCATGAACTCACTGAAATTATTTTTAAAGCTTGTTTCCAACCTGTACCACCTCTTAACAAGTAGCCTAAGTGAACTGTCTGTTGGGTAAAATATGCTTTCTTCTATTTATTGTAAAAATATTTCCTTCCAATTCCCTAGAGATTTAACATAATGATAACATTTAAAAGCAGCACCTTCCCTTCATCACATTGTTTTTTTAACGATTCTTTCTTGTTTTTCAGGAAGGTGATGTCTGGCCCAACTCATCAGCTGAAATCACTGTGTACTTCAACCCTCTGGAAGCCAGGCTCTACCAGATGACTGTGTACTGTGACATTTCAGGTGAAGACTTCTTCTGTGTGGTAACGGCAGGCTAGCAAGTGCCCAGAGCCTCAGTGGGATGAGTGTGTGAGTGTGTGTGTGTGTGTGTGTGAGAGAGGGGGGGGGGGGGAGGGGCTATGGGCTGTGCATGACTTACTCACTTCTTTCTAGAATAGACCAATCTCTGACATTATACTAGAATTGTGGTATGGTGGCGGGTGGGATGGGAAACCATGGATCTGATTTTTAGAGCAGTAAGAACATTCCTTTAGACAGATTCTCACAAATTATTTTTTTTATTTTTGTAGTATTTAATGAGATAGAAGCAAATACGTATAGATTTACTTCCCCTCACATCTTTTTGCATAACGTATAGCATGCTTTACATGATGGTTCTGACATTGCTTTTAAAATATTTCTTAAAGATTATTCTATAACATTAAATGTAAAAGTATCATTTTTTTCATGGTTGCATATGAATACTTTTTATTTACATACCACAATTTAACTTTTAATCTTTTGTGACTATGAAATAGAACATAGATTCATAACTGTTTATAGTACATGCTGTGGTGGGCAGAGTGATGGCCTCCCAAATATGTCCATGCTCCCAGCACCTGTGGATATGGTACTGTGGTTGTATTACATTATATGGCAAAGGGGAATTAAGGCAGGCAATGGGATTTAGGTTACTAATGAGCTGACCTTAAGGTAGGAGATTATCCTGATTGTGTGGGTGGCTCAGTATAATCACAAGGGTCCTTAAACATCGAAGAGGAGGCAGAAGTTATCAGTCTCAGTGTCAGAGTAATGTGCTATGAGAAAGATTCCTCCCGCCATTTCTGGCTTTGCAGATGGGAAGGGCAAGGAATTCAGACAGCCTGTAGAACCTGGAAAAGGCAAGAAAATGGGCTTTCCTCTAAACTAGAACCAGCAGAAGGGAGCCCTGTCAACACCTTGATTTTAGCGCAGTGCGACCCATCTTGGACTTTTGACCTTCAGAACTTTAAAAAAAATGTTTCCATGATAGTTGACATGCAATATTATATTAGTTTTAGGCGTATAACACAGTGATTAGACATGACCTCCAGAACTTTTAAGATGAATTTGTATGTTAAGCTACAAAATTTGTGGTAATTTGTTGTTGAGCAATAGGGAATTAATACACATATATAAATTATAACATAATTATAAGGTAAACATTACGTAATCACCACCAAGATCAATAATAAAATATTTCCAGCTTCGAGAAGACCCCCTTGGTGTTCCTTCCCAGTCACATTCCTCTCACCTCAACCTCCCCTTGAGATAATCACCATTCTGTCCTTGATGGTCATGATTTCATTGCTTTTATTTATAGTTTTTACCCCTATGTATATACTCTGAAACAATGCAATTTAGTACTGCCTGTATTTGAAATGTGCATCATCGACATCAATATGCACATCTCATCCATGGCGTTGCTTGTAGCTCTAATTGTATTTCATTGTCATTGTTGCATAGCGTGCATTTATGCGAGTGCACGTTCGGAGACAGGAAGTAGCAGGGAAGGTCATCACTGGTCTGGAGGGAGGCCTCTTGGGATGCACGAAATTTAGTCCGTGATTTCCAACTGCAACCTTCTTTCTTTCTAAAGCTTTTATATCTAGGCTCAATGAGTACAAAGATGTATAAAAGCATAGTTCCTACCTTCAGATAACATAGACACGAGCAGGGGAAACTGACACACAGACCAACAGTTATATTGCAATCCCTACAGTGAACGAATGAACAATGGAAGAGGATGGTATAGGACACACAGCTCAGTCTTAGGCTCTCCAGAGAAAGTGACCCTTAAAGTATTTGTTAGCCAAGAAAATAAAGGGTGTCTATGGATGGGCATGTCAGGCAGGGATATACTTTGTGAAAATACATAGAGAAACAGTGAAAATACATAACAAGAGCACAAAATGGCAAAGAATCATAAGTTCTTAGGGTGTGGCTGCCAGAGAGAGAGAGAGAGAGAGAGAGAGAGAGAGAGAGAGAGACTTGGGAGGGGGTGGTGGGGGCAGGGATTGAAGCTGGAGTAGTAGGTGGGATCTAGTTCATGGAAGGCTGCCCTTGGATGCCAGGCTCAGAACCTTGGACTTCATCCCGGGTGCAGTGGGGAACCACTGAGGGGCTGGAAAGCAGGGGAGTGACCTGCTACGATCTGATTATGGCAAGTTTAACACCATTAACATATTTTCAGTTCATCTGAAACTCAAATTTTGTCATGTAAAGATTTCAGATTTTCTTAGAAGCAGTTAAACCTGTTAGATATTTATAAAGACTTGCTGATGGTTTGATCCAGGTCTTGAAACTGATCTTTCATCTGTCTTGACTTTCCAATGGAATGTGGAAATTCTGAGTTTCATCACAAAGATTACCTTTTTAAAAACTCAAAGGGAAACAGCATGTATTTGGTTTGGATCACCATATGGGAACCTCAAAGGAAGCAACACTTTCTGATTTTAAACTGTGAAATGTATTGTTAGAAAACGTTAATGGGTGCTTCAGAGAAATGGTTCCAGATGTACCTGCTTCCTTTAAAGACCCAATTAAGATGAAACCTCATTGTCCATTTTTATTCTGTACATCATAAGAGAGAAATATCTAAGTTTCAGACTTCTGATTTTTATTCTAATTAAACTAAGGAATTGAGATTTAATTTGATTTAGGAAACAAAAAGTCAAATCACCCCAATCATTAAAAACACTTTTGGGTTTTCAGAGTAATAAGTGAGTAATATTTAACGTATTTATAGCTTTTCTTTCTCAAAACTCATCAGATTGCAACCTCTTAATAATGTAAGGTTTCTTAGTCATATGAATAAGAAATTATTTTCTTGATCAACTAAATTATATTTTCAGTTTTAAAATATTTCAAACATAAAAATACAGGGAATAATATATAAATATCTATGAATATAGAACCCAGATTTAAGAAAACTTGAACAAAGAGAAATGTATGCCCATGTTTTTGGTCAAGAAGAGCAACATCATAACTAGGTTGATTCCAAAGTTTTTATAGAGGAAATAAATAAACTAGGGTTGCCTAGAAAATTCAGAAAAACAAGAATAATGTGGGAAGACTAGCTCCACCATGTGTTAAGAGTTATTTAAAAAACTATAACCATAAAAAAAGGAACAAAAGAAACAAAAAAAAGGAAAAAGAAGAACACACACATGTATACAGATCGCATGTGGATGCCCAGTTGTTTTAGCTCTTTATACTGTATAGTCCATCTTTCCTTACTGATATTCAATGCCTGCTCTGTCCTAAATCAAGTTTATATTTATATGTGCATTTATTCTTCGTTCTGTATTCTGTTTCCTTAGTCATCTTTGCATTTTCTGCCCCAATACTACATTATCTTAATTAGAATAGCTTTATAATAGATTTTAATTTATGAATGGCCAAGTTCCCTCAATTTGCTCTCCTTTAAGAATGTCTTAGTTTTTATTGGCCCTTTGTTTTCCATTTAATTTTGTAATCAACCCATCAAATTCTATCTGCTGGCATTTTGTTTATTAAAGCATTAAGATTGTAGATATAGATCAATTGGAGAAAATTTGACAACTTTATGATGTTGAGTCAGTTTTCCTTTTCAATAACATAGCCTAGTCCTCCATTTATTTAGATCTTTAGCAATATCTTTCAATAAAGTTTTATATTATACTCATTGAAGATCTTATATCTTGTTAGATTTATTTCTTGGTACTTTATATTTTTGTTGCTGTTGTCAATAGTATCTTGAGAATTATTTTTTCTGATTGTTGCTGGGTATGGAAATGTAGTTGACTTTTGTATATTGATTTGGTAACCATCAATTTTACTCTAATTAATTTTAAAAGATTATGTCTAGATTCTTTAGGATTTTCCAGGCAGACAGTCCTAAAATATGTGAATAATGGCAGTTGTTCTTCCTGTTTATATTCCCCCCTTTTTTCTTGTCTTATTGCACAGGAATAGAGCTCAAGTATAATATTGGACATCTAAGATATCTTAGATGGCAAGTTCTTGAAAGCCCATGGTTACATTTCCTGGTACTTAATGCAATGAATCTATTGCATTCAGGAATTTCAGAACTGTTAAAGGGGTTCAATAGTACATTTCTCTACTTCTTATGTGTGAAAACAAGGTAATGTAATCATAGGTGAGAAACAGCCCTATTTTAACATTTTGCTCTTCTTATAAGGAATTTGTCCTTTTATATTACTAGTTCCTTCAGGCTTGTCCCTCTCGCTGCTTTTTGCCAAGACAAGAAAAGTCTCTGCTTCAAAGATCTTATGGAAAAGTAGCATTTGAAATGTAACCCTAAAATTTAGGCTAATTCTTATAAATCGAGGCTGGGTATTACTCGTATTCCCACTCCACCTGGGGTGAGGGAAAGGGCTAGCTACAAGTAAGACAAATTCCTTTGAAGTAATGAATAACTCCCAAAGAAACATTGGCTCACTGCTTTGTTACAACACATCTCCTTTTTCAAAATTTATGTATTAAGGAAGGCAGTCAAGGTAACAGATGGGGAAAGCTTCAAGCCTGACAGTTATAAATAGTCTTGCAGTTTATTCCACAATATATTTGCAATTCCCTTTCTTTGCCATTCTGAAAGTTGGATCTCTGTCAAAATATTTTTCTCTTGACCAAGGAGTACAAATCATTGCCAATAGATTAAAATACTAAAATAATGGAGTAGGGCTCTCTGAAAATTTTACTTATGTTGCCAACAGTAATATACCGGGTCTTTAGAGAAACCTCTTTTCCAGGGATCAGGTGGATTGGGGAACCCTTTGAAGAAAGCAGCTGTTCCAGAATTGCTTTTGTTTCTTATAATCAAAGTAATACTTGCCTAATGGCCACTGCATTGCCAAACACTAGAGGGACACAGAGATAAGTATTCTTGTCTTTAAAAGGACAGTCATGGAGAGAGAGCATTAAAGAGATACAGAAGCTAAATAGCAACAGAAGGCAGTGGAACATCAAATGTCACAAGGCATTATAATGATGATAATAAATTAGAAATATCATTTGGTTGTTTGAAGTGTATTGTTGCAATACTGACAGTTACATCTAAAAGAGCATCAAAAGTATTTTGAATATTCAAAACATTACACACAAGGCAAATATATAATTTTCCTTACATAACTGGCATTTAAGTGGTGCAAATTTAAGGAAAACCTGTCAAACCATCAAAGATTTTTTTAAATGGTGATATACCCATGGCCAGGGAGGATGTGGAGAGCCAGGAACCATTAAATACTGTTGTTCGTGTGTAAATTAGTATAGTCATTCTGGAAGGCAATAAACCCATAGCTGTCAGCATGTCAAATGCGCGTCTCTTTGTCCTGACAATTCTGTTTCCAGTAATGGTGGGCTCAGTAATTTGGATCAACAACTCTCTCTAAGAACAACTAGAAGAGCAAGGCAAAGTATTTTCTAAAACCAGTTTTAAAGGTAAAACAGAGCTGCTAGGACAGTGAAGAATTATGGGGCCAACATCCAGGAGAAGAAACCAAGACAGATTTTGGGGGGAGGAATGACTCTTTATTCTTAGCAACACTGACTTTCTGGTAGATCAGCAGAGGCTGAAAAGTTCAGCTGAGTTAGGGAAGAACACGAAGGAGTTAACGGGATGCCCCAGGAGAAAGGGCCCCAGTGGTCCCCCAGGCCTCAGCATGGGACCCCCATTTACATGAACAGTATTTAAATATGAGTAAGTGTGGAAGGATTGGCACCAAAGCCTAATAATAATTATCTTTGGGTGGTGGGATTATGACAGAATTTCTACTTTTTTGATAATATTTTTATAATGATCATGTATTTCAAGTGGGGATTTTTCCATTTTTGAAAAAGAAAACAAAACAAATTAGTACTTTAAAGGTTTGTGTTCTGTGTTGACCCTGGGTCCATAATGGATGTGTAATAAGGGATACTGTTTAGTGGACTCCATTACCTATCTATGAAAGAAACTGCAAAGTAAGGTCGGATTCCTCATACACTGGCTCTTCCTAAATCTAGGGAAGATCAATGTGGACAACATCCCTTGGAGCCACATGGTGACTCACTTTATGGGGAGCCTCAATCAGGGATCACTCTTATTTAGAAAAATTACTTTCCTTTTTAAGAAACTTAAGGATAGCCCTGGTTTTTGTGGCTCAATTGGTGGGAGCGTCATCTGGTACACTGATAGGTCACAGGTTCGATTCCCATCCAGGGCACATACCCAGGTTGCTGGTTTGAGCTCCGGTCGGGGCGCATACAGGAGGCAACCGATCCATGTTTCTCATATCAATATTTCTCTCTCCCTCTCCTCTTCTCTAAAAAAATCAGCGAAAACATATCCTTGGGTGAGGATTTTTTTAAAAAAGAAACAACAAAAAAGAAATTAAGGATACAGTTAAGATTGGGTTAAAATTTTTTATTGTTTTTTTTCCCTGCTAAAATGTCCATCTAAATTGCAATACAAGCTGGCCCCTAAAGGTAAGAAACTAACAGTATTACGGTTTCTAAAAAATAAACTAAATCTTCAGCCTGGTTAAATTGCAGGTCCCCCAGTCCAGCGTAGGGGGTGGGTGCAATCATCTTGGGTGCTCACATTGGTAATGAGTTGTGGATAATAAAGCATCATTTGGGTAATAAAGTTTTAATTGTTTATATAGGTCGAGAGATCCGTCTGCCCCTCCGAATCAAAGGGCAAGGAATGGGACCAAAGATTCACTTCAACTTTGAATTGCTGGATATTGGAAAAGTTTTTGTTGGATCTGTACATTGTTATGAGGTAAACACTAGAATTGTTCATTGAGCGTCAAATAGGACTTGGCTCGCTTTGTTTTGTTTGTGTCAATAGAAAATTTGCACAGTCACATCCACTTGCCATTACTCATACTTATTCAGACCCCAGAACAATCTCTTTCTCCTCTTTCCTAGCCTTGTTGAGCGGAACAACTTTTTCCATTCTCTTCCCACCCCCTCTCACTTGACTAAACACATCAAAGCCACAACTTAATTGGTTTTATCCTCATCATTTTGTAGATTATAAAGAGGAACTCCATAAATACATCTCCCCATCTGTTTAATGCTTGTTCTCTGACAACACAAATCCTACAGATCAGAAGATAGAGAACCTTCTACATTTTCCAGAATGTCCTAATGAGGATCGCTGTTTTCACACCTCAGACGTTTCTCTAAATACAGCCTCCAATCCATGATTTAGCAACCAATCATTGGGTTTTCTGGAAGAGACCTCCCTGCTTTGTCTTTCCAAATAAATAGAAAATGATACTTTTTTTTTTAAGATGTACTCATGGGTTCGTAAGGATCAAAGTTAACTCAATGCCACCTCATCGTAAATTTTTATCTAGGACACATTTTTACAGTATCAAACTATAACCATTGGAACTTTATTTTAGAAAGATTCCAAATTGTAAATGTTTATATTTCTATAGAGGTAAAAACAAAAGCAGTTATTATTTCATGAGTGCTTGAGGCTTAATTAGTGTGTCAGGTTCCATGCATTATTATGTGTGCATGTCAACATATAAGGGTATCATTTCTAATCCTTACAAAGCCATGAAAGGTAGGTTTTATTGTACCTATTTTACAAAGAAGAAATAGGCAGATGGTGGTGAATTCTATCTACAACATCACTCTTCATGCGTGTTGAGCACACATGCATCCTTTGTTCATTTAGTCCTCACAAACCCCCTATGGAGTAGCTACTGTGACTATACCCATTTTATAGACCAGGAAACTGAGGCCCAGAGTTTTACTTGTTAAGGTAATTAATGTTAGACACTATAACAAGCAAATATGAAAATAGATATTCTCTCAAAATAGATAAGAGTCTATGTTGTTGCTTATATAAAGTCCCAAACAAGGTTGCTAATCAGGAGGTGACTGTCCTCCAGCAGAGAATGAGGAGCCCAGCCTCCTTCCCTCTCATGGCTCTGCGGTCTCATAGGTATCACACTGGCAGGAGAAAGCACATGTAGGGTTTCACTTGAGGGATTTTTACAGGAGGTAGCACTGGAGACGGCACGTATCACTTTTGTTCATGTCCAGTTAGCTGGCCATAACTGCAAGGGTGGCTGGGAAATGTAGTTTGGCTGGAAACACCAGAAGAAGAGGATATGGGTTCCATGAACAGCAAACCTGACTGCCACATTTGTTAAGTAACCGGCAAGGTCACATAGCTTGTGAGTGTTCGTAATCAGTGGGTTTTAGGGCCCTATACCCTGTGGGAAGAGAAGGCCTGCTGGCTTTTCTGCCTCCACCTCTCACCAGATGCGAATCCAGCCAAGAGCCTACTTAGCTCTCAGCCCAGCCTAACCTCGCATGGGAGGGAAATGCCTGGCTGCTGTTGAGAGCTTTCTATAGCGTCATTCGTCCCCATGATGAATAATTACGAGAGTAATTGTGGCCTAAATGCGATGATGTGCAAGGTAAACAGAGATGTTAATGTCATGATGAGATGGAGTACACATTAGAGCCCAATTTAAATAAAGAAATCCGTCACAGGACTGTCATAAAATGAACAGTGGCACAGCTACTTACATTGCATTGTCCTGTATTGCATTTTGAAAAAAAATGGTCACTTAGGGATGAAAATTAAAAGGCGCAATAGTTCTTACTAAATCGATATTCTGTTTGTAATTTATCCAGCGTGAATTTCCCCTTACATCTTATAGTCTGTGTCTTACAGATGCCACATCGGAAAAGGACCTTTAGTTCTGATGCAAAATGCATAGGGTTTCCCTGAAGGTAATGATAATTTCTTGCAGATTTAACACAAAGGTACCGTAGGCCACCATTTCTCACCCTCCCAGGTTTGAACAGTAATGCATCCCGCAGCCAGATAAATATGTGTTAAATGAGGCGCAGCATCCGATTGGGCAGTTTTGAGAGCTGTGCCCTGGCAGAGAAGGGCATGGTAAGGTGCTTCTCATGAGAATATTTTGCCCACTCTGCATATTTAATGCTGATGCCTCGTTGCATCTCTCTTTCAATTTATTACGTTACCTCCTCGAGACAAATTTGAATAACTATCTATTGCCCTTAGTCATTGCTGAGCTTAGCAGATCCATAAAGAATAAGCCAGAACCCCAAGAGTACACACTCTCCCCAGTGTAATTAGAAGGAAAACAAAAGGTCTCAGGTTGGTAGCCCAAACAGTCTGGTGGATTCTGTACACATAAGTAGGTGCTGCTTTGTCAGGGGGAGAGAATAACATGCACGTTCTTGAAAACAGGGGAACTGGCACCTTATAAAACATTGGTGTTAACCAAAAAATAAAAAGACAATCCGTGCCTCTTCTCAGAGAGAAGAACAAGGGTCCTTCGAGGTACCACTAACCCCTTTGAGTTGTCTTTGAGTTACCTCTGGGGTGTGTCAGTTTCTTCTTCAGCACAGGTACACTTCAAACCCATCCTGGTTAGCACGGGGCAATGGATAGGAGTCACTGTCATTGAAGCATTCTTTGCCAGGCACTATTCTAAAGGTTATATAAATTAACAAACTTCATCTTCGCAGCAATCGGGTGGGGAAACCTGGACTTGGAGAAGCACAGCATGTTACCCAAGGCCACACAGCTGGTCAGTCAGTGGCAGAGCTGAGATTTGAACCCAGGGATTTGGCGTCTGAGTCCCTGGTCATAATCACTTTTCCACATGGTCTCTTTCAAAGGAATGAAGGGTGAAGCATGATTCCTATGACCAGGGAACTTAAAACAGAGAGAGGGAGATGGAACATAAATGTAGAAAGATGAATAACATAGCAAGTAGCAATTAGTTGCATGTCTGTTGTGGTACACTGCCTGTCTCCTCTTGGCAGAGTGGCTGTCTTCCTCTGCAAGAGCCCCTTACTCTGTCCTAGCTCTTGGTTCCTTCTTCTCTGCTTCTCCTGAAGCACACTGAGCTGGTGGACCCCCATATCCACCAGACCCTGTTCTCTTGGTTAGCTAGCCCTCTTCGTCTATTACAACAACAAACACGGAGGCCAGGCACCGAGTATGTATTTCTCATTTATTATAAATACTAGAGGCCCGATGCACGAAATTCATGCAAGGGGCTTGCCCTCACAGCCGTGGCTTCGTCTGTAAGGTCCTCTGGAAGGTTTTTCGGCTGTCGGGTCTAATTAGCATATTACACTTTTATTATTATAGATACTAGGTCTCCTCTACCATACCTTCTCACAGCTTTGCCACCTCCAGTCTCACTTTTCACCACTAATCTTCTCTCAACAGAATCCGGAATAGTCAACCACTATTTCATCTGCACCCACTCACCCCACCCCCCCAAACATTTGGACTCTGGATTCTGCAATCATATTCCACTGGCATCATCCTCTCTTCTTCCAGGGCAGTGATGACTTCTAAGTAAAAATACAAAATCTGTAACATTTCCTCAGAGCTTATTCTCCTGAACGTCCATCAACCCTTTCTGGAAATTCTCCTCCCTTGGCTTCAAGCTTCCTGGCATGGAATGTAGGTTCCACATACCTTTCTGAATGGTCTTCAGGATGCTCTGTGCTCTTTTCCCTCCAATGGCTTCAGTGTAGGTTGAGGGCCATTCTACATACACAGAGAGAATGTGTTGTTCACACGTTCAGGTGTAAGCATTGGCAAGGAAGAGATTGTATCTTGGAAGCTCAGGAGTAGAAGTGTGTGGCCGCAGTACAGGTTCATGGACAGGAACTGTGGGAGGGAGCAGGAGTAGTAGACTGAGCCAGCTGAGGAGGACTCTGATTGTCAAGCATGAGATTTTGATACATACCTAGGGTGCATTCAAATATGGGTAATGACCTGGTTCCAGAACACGTCTATAGAAAACGTTCCTGTAGTAAAGCAATGGCTTGCATAGGCATACCCAGTGGAGTTTGAGATGAAAATATCCCAATAGGGTGAAATCTAATACCTTAAGGAAGAGAATCCTTGCAATTTGGAATCTACAATAAGGTCATATTTATATTCATCAAGCTACATTATACACATAGGCTTAGGTAGTTCTTGTGCCTCTATTCTGACTTGCTTTTTATTTTCCTGTATGCCACTTCCTCTCAGCCTCCTCATGCGTCTGAGAGAAAAACCTATCTTCCCTTGGTTACTTTATAGAGAGCACCCAAAAATAGTATTTTAAGGCTCTTGAGTAGATGCGATTGTGATCAGTCTTTCTAGCATGAGTATCAGACATATGACCAACTCTATTTTAAAGATGAGACGAAAATTACTTCCTGGTTTGGGACTCTTATCTTCAAACATTCGAGAGAGAAGACTGTTCATTTCTCCCCGGGAGTTTCCCTGTGGTTCTAATTCCCGCCACTGTCTCTGTGTCGGTATTAAATAATACAGCCGCATGCTTACGTGAAAGTAAATCTGAGGCCCATTGTCTACCTTTTCATTCTTGCCTTTTTTATCGGTATAGGCAATACTCTCCAACAAAGGCAGCATCGACGCCCTCTTCAACGTGATCCCCTCGACTTCAGCGTTGGGGGCCTGCTTTGTTTTCAGCCCCAAGGAAGGCATCATCAAGCCAAGCGGGGTCCAGGCTGTCCAGATTTCCTTCTGCTCGTCCATTCTGGGGCACTTCGAAGAAAAGTTCCTGGTCAGTGTCAATGGGTCACCTGAGCCCGTGAAACTGACCATTAGGTAAGACCTATCTGTAACTACTGTGGTAGCTAGCTGAGTTTTACCTACTGCCTTCTTAAACTTCGTAACTAGATCATCTTAGACATCAATAACTGTCTTTGTGATATGAATACATCAACGGAATGGGGTATTTTAAATTTCCACCCATGTTTCCCTACTAAACATGTGTAACTTAGGATTGCAACACGGACACAGATGCTGCTTTGTTATCCAGCTGGTTTTTTTCTTCCAGAAGCTATAACCTTATAAAACAAGGACTTAATCCATTATTAAATAGTTTCTTGTTACTCTCTCTCTGTTTTAGGCTGTTTAGGGAAAATCATCTCTTTATTATCACAGTTTCTCTAAGTCTTCGTCTTCTGTTTTTATTTTAAGGACATTCTTTAAATGCTCTCATCTATAATGCCTACAGGTAGTAAAAGAGCCCACTTACAGTGTCTGTCAGTCAAGGCTAGACATTTGCAGCTTTTGTGCCAGAAGTCTTTTGATGGCTTCTCCAGCTGCTTGTGATAATTGAAAGTTGTTAATATCAGAGTTTGTCCTTGGGCTTTAAAAAGAAGTTCTCTGTGACCAACCCATTGGGAAGATCTATAACTTGGGTTCCCGGTGCTTAGAAAGATAATATTTTCAGAACACATTGCAGATTCCATTTGGATTCCCAGTGTAATAGGTTGTTAATTACCATGGCGGTCTCTCTCATTATGGTTACTGCCAGCAGGACCTCCCTCCACCTATGGCTGAGGTCTCCCTCGGGGTCTGAAGATAACATAGAAAAGAGACAGACACATATGGCCTGAAGGATCCTAAGGGGAACTTATTGATTGTAGGATATCTACTAGAAATATAGAATCTCAAGATCAGCTCAAAAGTCATTACCATTACTTCTTAGGTCACTTTTCCACCTAAGTATCCCTGTTATAGGGTGAATTGCATCCTCCCAAAATTCATATGTTGAAGTCCTCCCACCAACTATTAGAATGTGACCGCACTAGATAATATCCATTTAATACAAAGGAAGACAATAATGGAGGAATAGAGGAACGAAAAAAGACATTAAAACATATAGAGCAGTGGTTCTCAACCTTGGCTGCACATTAGAATCACCTGGGAATCTTTTTAAAATCCTGATTTCTGGGCCTCATCCTCCGGAAATTCTGTTTCTTTGTTATGGGGTGGGGCCACAACATTAGTAACAAAGAAACAGAATTGCCGGAGGATGAGACCCAGAAATCAGGATTTTAAAAAGATTCCCAGGTGATTCTAATGTGCAGCCAAGGTTGAGAACCACTGATATAGAGAATAAATAGTAAAATGGAAGACACAAATCATTATCAGTAATTACATTAAATGCAAATATATTAAATACCTCAATTAAAAGGTAGAGATTAATAGGGTGGATTTAAAAAACACACACAAAAAAAACATGACCCATCTGTATGCTATCTATAAGAGACATATTTTAGAGCTGAAAGTATGAATAGATTAAAACTAAAAGGATGGAAAAAGATAGACCATGCAAACAATAACAAACAAAACAAGACAAAAATAAACACACCTGGAATTTCTATACTAATAGCAGGCAAAAATAGTCTTTAAAACAAAAATTGTTACTTGAGACAAAATAGGACATTTTACAATAATAAAAGTAAATTCATCAAGAAGATATAACAATTATAAACATAAGTGCACCTAACAGCAGAGCCCCAGGTGCATGAAGTATAAGCTGACAGAACTAAAGGGAGAAATAGGTAATTCAACAATAATAGTTGGAAATGTCAGTACCTCACTTTGAATAATTGATAGAACAACTGGGCAGGAGACCATAAAGGAAATAAGAGTTGAACAATATATCCTAGTAAACCAACTAGAGCCAACAGACACGTACAGAACACTCCACCCAGCAAGTGCACTTGGAACATTTTCCAGGATAGACAATATGTTAAGCCATCAAACAAGTCTTAATACATTTTAAGTGATTTGAGTCATACAAATGTGTTTTCAACCACAAAGAAATGAAATTAAAAATTAAAAATAGAAGGAAATGTAGAGAATTCACAAATATGTGAAAATGAAACATCACCAATGGGTCAAAGAAGAAATCACAACAGAAATTTTAAAATATTTTGAGATAAATGAAAACAAAACAGAAGATGTTAAAACTTTTGAGATGTAGTGAAAGTAGTGTTTATAAGAAATTGATAGCTGTTAAATGCTTATATTTAAAAAGAAGAAATATTTTAAATCAATGATATAAATATCTGCCTTAAAAACTTGAAAAAGAAGAGGCAAATAAATTCAAAACAAGTACAAGGAAGGAAATAATAAAGATTAGAATGAAATTAATGAGCAAAACAATAGAGAAAATTAATGAAAGTGAAAGTTGGTTCTTTGAAAAGATCAACAAATTGACAAACTTTAATGAAACTGACTAAGAAAAAAATGAAGAAAAGCCTCAAAGTACTAAAATCAGAAATTAAAGAAGGGGCATTATTACCAACCTTACAGAAATGAAAAGAATTATTAGGGAATTTTACAAACAGTTGTATGCCAACAAATTAAAGAATCTGGATGAAATTGGCATGTTCCTAGAAGGACACAAAGTATCAAAACTAATTCAAAATAAATAGAAAATATGAATAAACCTATAATAGTTTAGAGAGATTGAAATAGAACCACTTCCACCCCCACTGTACCCTGACACACACACACACACACCCCAGGAACAGATGGCTCCACAGGAGAATTCTACTGAGTGTTTAATGAAGAATTAACATCAATTCTCCACAAATTATTGCTTCCCCCCAAAATAGAAGAGGTGTGAACACTTTCCAACTCACTTTCTGAGGCCAGTATTACCCTATACCCAAATCAGAGAAAAGTATCACAAGAAAAGAAACTGAAGACTTTTACAAATATAGACACAAAAATTAACAAAACACTAACAAACCAAATCAAAGCAGCAACTTATAGGAAGGATTATACACAATGACCAAGTAGAATCTATCCCAGGAATGCAAATTTGGCTCAACATAGGGAAATTATTGTTATACAGCATAAATTATTATTAGAATAAAGGCCCAAAGCCATATGATCATCCCAATAAACGTAGAAAAAGCACTCGCCGAAACTAAGCACCCTTTCATGATTTAAAAAGATAAACAAAAACAACGCAAACCTCAACAAACCAGGGATAGCAAGGAACTCCCTCAACATGATAAAGAATACCTATGAAAGACTCACATTTAACTTTATGCTTAATGGTGAGAGACAGACTGCTTTCTCACTAAGGTCAGGAACAAGACAAGCAGGTCTGCATTGCCACTTCTATTTGACATTGTACTAGAGTTTCTGTCCAAGGCAAGTAGTTGAGAAAAAGAAATGAAAAGCATTCAGATTGGAAAGGAAAAGTAAAACTGTCTCTGTTTGCAGATGATGTGATGTTGTATATAAAGAATCTTAAGGAATACACACACACACACACACACACACTCATAAAGAACTAATAAGTGAGTTCAGAAAAATTACAAGATATAGGATCAACATACAGAAATCAATTCTGCCTGACCTGGTTTGGCTCAGTGGATAGAGCATCGGCCTGCGGACTGAAGGGTCCCAGGTTCGATTCCAGTCGGGGGCACGTGCCTGGGTTGTGGGCTCTATCCCCCAGGTGGGGGATGCAAGAGGCAGCTTATCAGTGATTCTCTCTCATCATTGATGTTTCTATCTCTCTCTCTCCCTCTCCCTTCCTCTCTGAAATCAATAAAAATATATTTTTAAAAAACCAATTGTATTTCTAGGCAATAATAATGAAAATTCAGAAATTAAGTTATGAAAATTCCATTTACAATAGGTTCAAAAACAATAATATAGTTGGAAATACATTTAACCAAAAAAGTGCAAGATTTTTACATTGAAAACTATAAAACAAGACCTAAATAAATGAAAAGACATCTATGTTCATGGGTTGGAAGACTTCATATGGCAATACCTCCCCAAATGATATGTAGATTCAAGATGATCCCTATCAAATATCCCAGCTGCCTTTTTTGCAGTAATTGGCAAACTAATCCTTAAATTCATATAGACACGAAAGAGATCCAGAATAGCTAAAAACAATTTTGAAAAAATAAGAACAAAGTTGAAGGGCTTTTGCTGTTCTATTTACTCTTCAACTACATGATACAGTTTTTTAAGTAGCTGGATAAACAACACTGCAAAATTAATGTGATTTTAAAAAATTACTCATGCACAGTATTCTTCCTTCAAATATTTACATATGTAATTTTATAAAGTTTTAACCACAGCACAGATATATTTTGTCTTCAAAATATTTCACTTAACATGTCATAGTAATTCAATCGCTCTAACTCTTAGTTTTTATAATTTTACCAGACCACTGCAGTGATGGAGGGCACAATCTTGACAGAGACTGTCCTAATATTCAGAATCCCTGTTAGAATGAATGTGACCATATCTAAGTCCAGATGGTACTCAGCCACAATTCCCTAGTTGTGTGTGCCTTCGAACAAATGTGATTTAACTCTGGTTCTCTCTACTTCACTGATTATATGACTGCTTTGTGCAAATTTGTAAGCTTCTTTCTTACTTTCTTTAGCCCTTTGTGCCTTTTAGACACTTTTGATCTGTTATTTTGCCCCCCTTCCGCCCCCCTGAAAAAAATTCTTTACAAGTCAAGAATTTAATCCATAGGCTGGTTTGACTTCCTTCTCAGCTAGATCCTAATTCCTGCTGAGTACCAGCCATTTCTTTTGAAACCACATGTCATTATCATGAGAAAGGCTTTTTGAATGGAAACTTGCTGCATTGAGTCTTTGCTGTCATGGCTCCTCCCACACTTGCAGCCTCTCACCACAGTATGGTCAGCTCTGTAGCAGCCAGTATTGCCAGGGCACCAATAGACTCAGCATGGTGAGCCACACCTGCATCACCAGTATCTGGAGCTGGCTGAATAAGGAGATTTATGCTTAGGCGTTGGCTGGTATCTGCGTGTCTAACATTAAACGCCTGGCACACTAGAAGCTGTAGAATCTATTACAGACAAAACTCATTTTATTGCACTTTGCTTTATTGCCCTTCACAGCTGTTGCGGGTTGGTGGTTTTTGGGTTTTTTTTACAAATAAAAAGCAAGACCCCCCACCAGCAAAAAGATTACAACTCACTTTATTGTGATACTTACTTTATTATGGTGGTCTGGAATCAAACCCACAATATCTCTGAGGCATGCCTGTGTTTATTTCATTTCATTTTTAAAATATTTTTTATTGATTCCAGAGAGAAAGGGAGAGGAAGAGAGAGATAGAAACATCAATGGTGAGAGAGAATCATGGATCGGCTTCCTTCTGCACTCTCCCCCCGCCCCCCTGCATTGGGGATTGAGCCCACAACCCGGGCATGTGACCTGACCAGGATTGAATCATGACCTCCTGGTTCATAGGTCAATGCTCAACCACCGAGCATTGCTGGTCATGAGGCCTTGCACTGAGAGAGAAATAGACCAACATTTAGGGTAAAGAGTCCTTTCAAAGTCACCAATCCAGTCCTCCCCTTTATGCCTGAGGAAAAGAAATGAAAGCCTGTAGAGGCAGTGACTAGCCAAGCTCACAGCCAGTGAATGGGAGGAACTGGCCTCAAACAGTTTTATAAAAGTGTGGGACAAGGAATCCTGGTGGTATTGATAGTCTTTGATGTTCCTCATATGATTAAACCTATGCTTTTCCTTTCCTGCCTGAGTTAGCCGCTGTGTGAGACCAGCAGCTCTTAGTTTTCTTAAACCCTAGATTCGACCATTGATTTAATGCCACGTGGGGGTTTTCAGTTGACCCTCTCAGGTTGCTGATGGAACCCTGCGCTCACTGGTTCTCTCCCACTCCCCTCCTTGTGCTCCTGCTTCCAGAGGCTGTGTCATCGGACCCACCTTCCACTTCAATGTCCCTGCTCTGCACTTTGGGGATGTTTCCTTTGGTGAGTATTTTTCATTTTAAATTAGAAACAGAGAAGAATTACTTTTCTCTACAGGGGAGCATAAAGGTCTGCAAAGAGTCTTTCTTACCATTTTTTTTTATGGGTAGAAACTGAGAGGATCTAGAATTGTTCTTCTGCAGAAGTGGCATTTCAGTGCCATTTCCCCGTTTCCATGTAAAAGTTGGAACTGCGTCCCGGGCACTAACAGTTGTCAGGCCACGGCCATCCCCCTCTGCCAGCAGGGAACCGTGGAAGGCCTTCTGCTCCACTCCACCATCTGAACTTTACGAACGTTCTGTTTATGTGCAGATTCTGATCTGCCAGTCTGCCACACAGCTACCTTCTCCCAGAGATGCTCTCAAGTTCAAAGTGAACTCAGTGGTGGGTCGATTCCAGATTGAAGACTCTTCTGGATTGTTGTGTTGTCTTCTCACCCAGTTACTTCTCTAAGTCATTTTCTCCCACCTAAGCTTCCCCAATAATAAAAATGATAACAGCAAAAATTCCTATTTATTGGTTCTTTCTATATATTCCAATCACTGCTAAGTGCATTACATGCAGTACTACGTTTAAACCTTTTAGCAACCCTATGGGGAGGTACTATTTAAGATCCCCATTTTAGAGATGGAAGAACTGAGCATTGAATGATTAAATAACTTCCTAAAGTCACACAGCAGAAATCAGCATTTCAGTTGAGGTGCGTTTAAATCATGTGCTGTCACACAAGTGATATTGCACCCAAAGAGGCAGAAATGGGTCCTTGGAGGTTGAAACAAAACTTAGATATAACAATGGTTTGTGGTCCTCCAGAGTTCAACCCTCCCCAACAGAATCTTGTCCCTTGGTATTTAATTTCTTCATTGGGGAGAATTTAATATGATTTAAATTCTATTTAATTTCTTCATTAGGGAGAAATTAAATAGGATTTAAATCATATTAATTAAATATAATTTATTTGATTTAAAATTAATTTATCACATTGGTTCTTTTTAGGAGATGATAATTTTTAAAAAGGTTGAAAACATTGATTTTTACAGAGAGGAAGGGAGAGAGAGAGTTAGAAACATCGATGAGAGAGAAACATCGACCAGCTGCCTCCTGCACATCTCCCACTGGGGATGTGCCCGCAACCCAGGTACATGCCCTTGACCGGAATCAAACCTGGGACCTTTCAGTCCGCAGGCTGACGCTCTATCCACTGAGCCAAACCGGTTTCGGCAGGAGATGATAATTTTTAAAAAGATTGAAAACCCCTGGTCTAAAGCCATGCTCCACAAACCTTTCCATTTTGTTCTATCGTCTCCCACTTTCACTTTTAGTTCTTTTGCATCTACTTGGGGGAAAACTGTTCTTTAGAAAAGGCTGATTAGATGCCTTTATCAATTGCTTTAACATTTGGGGGTCTGACAGTTTTATTTATACAGAATGTATTTATTTATACAGTGCCCCCCCCCCCATCTGCATTATATTGGGTAAGATACATACTATAGGAAAATCTATATACATGAAGTTGACTATCTGTTTGTCCCTATAGAATATGAAAATGGCTGGAGAGATTCTTACAAAATTGTAGGGCATGTTTGAGTGATAGACTCTTTTGAAGGAAATAAAAATGACCTACAACTTGAAAATCATCTGGTGGCCAAGTAAGAAAGGCATCCTCTCTCAAGGGTGACTGTGACGGCTGCACAATAAGAAGTGAATTAGTGTCCCAAGACCTATGCAGTCATCCTTCAAACAGCTCAGACGGAGACCACAGGGAAGTCTGGGCAACTGATGCATGACAGCAGCCTATCCTTCCACAGGCATTTCAAGACGGAGTCCAGCCCAAGGACATTGGGAGATGTGCCCGACATCAGATTGCCCTGGAGGGAGAACGCAGAGTACAAACAAGCACCTCAAATCAGTTAGTTCAGGAAACTTCCCACCGATTCATGGTCCAGGCTGCTCTATCGCTCACCTCTGCAGTGTTGATGTAAATGCTGTCCTAATGATAGGCCTAAAGCTGTTTCTCAGACTTGGTCTAGAAGTTTTGGTAACTAGCTTAGGTGAAGATTAGAAGCAGCGTATTTTTCGTTCCTTGTATAATATCTTATTGAATCAGTCGATGAGACAGCTGCTGGATAAGAGGCTGGAACACTCTACAGAGCCATGACCCAAGGTTCCCGAGTCTGAGATTTGAAAACTTATCACTCCTGAGTTTCCTTTCAAAACCCAAGTTGCCTTTTCTTTTAGTTTGGATATGGGCTCCTTAGTCTTCTCTAGTGTGGCAGGGAATGTTAACAAAAACATAATCCCTTTTGCTTGCCAACAGGAGATCTAGGGCTACTTGGTTTTCCAAACCACTTGGGTCAGTTAATTCAAGCTACTTTTCTGTGCTTCTAGATTTTGCACTGTAACAACCAAAATTAGAGACAATTTTATGATACCCTTTCAAAATTATTTTATGATATTTTCAAATCCCAAAGTTGGAACTAGAGTCCTCATGACTTCAACACAAAGTCTTATTATTTTTTCCAGGTAGTTGGACCGCCCGTCACAAAGAAACACGGTCCATTGGGCAGTTATTTACTGGAAGCTTATTATTATCCTGCATGTGCAAGTAGGGCTTTGATGGGGCAGATAAAACTGAGCATGTCATTGGCACGAGAATAAAAGACCAACAAGGATACATATAGTTCCAGATGCAAAAGAGAAGTTAACTGTTACAGGAGCAAAAATTAACTGTTCCAGGAATTGGAGGAATTTTTTTAGTTATTTCAGGATGGCCGGCTTATCATGTGGAGTTAAGCAAGGTTTGCAGGGACTGTTGTAGGGCTTGGGAGTGCATGAAGCTAATGAAAGTTGGTAATATTGTCCCCATATTGGCACTAAGGCCCATTCCATTCCTGAAAAGGTGTCTGTTATAGGTTATTGTGAAAGATGAAGATGTAGATTTGACATCAGGGTCTACCGGGTTGATGATGTTAGGAAATACCATATGTTATGGTTTAGATACTCTAAAGTAGGTTAGTATCTAACATGTTTGAAGATGGCTATAAATATTTTGATGATAGGATTGGATGTCGGATGACATATCTAATAATTAATTAGGCTGACTGAAGCTGCAATAGCATGAGAGTGTCAGATGATAGAATTGGGTGGCAGTTGTCCCTGAAGGAACATTGAGGCTTCAATAAATCCTCAGAATAGTCAGAAAATAAAATGGACCAAGTAACCACTGATGTGCCAGGTGATCAGCCAAAAGGTGAAGGAGGGGGTATCTGTAAAGCCACTATTTTTCAGGAGGCACAAGAATGTGTTGGATTGAGAATAAGGAGTGTGGAAGGCTCCAGGCACTCAGTATACTTGACAATTGGACAATTTGGACTGAGAAGTTAGGGTTTGAGGGCAGAGTTTTTGGAATAAATATAAGCATTTTAAAAAAATGCATGATAGTTGTCTCTTCCATGACCCAGGTATGAACTGTCAGTATTTTACTCAAATATTTAAATTGACTTTCTGAGGGTGTAGAGTAGGGAGTCAAGGGCAACACTTCCTTGTAATGATCTTAGAAAGGTTGGCAGAAGAGGTCATAATAAACACAAGCAAAGCCCACACCCAAGCAAGTTATCACTAACAGTAAGAGAGACATGACAAGGAATATCAGAATTACATAACTTGAAGATAGTAAATAGAGAATAACATGGCCAGATGATAAAGAACAAAGTAGGCAAAGGAAAATGTCAGGCACCTTGCAAAATCTTGTTCCACTAGGCTTGGGCAGAATCTTTCTACTTCATGTAAACACTGCTTGTTTTGAGGAGCTTGGAATGGCAATCTATTTCTGTAGGTCAACCATTTCTAGAAGTTTTATTAGCAAACTACCATTTGAGATCTCCAGTAAAAGTGTTTTCTGCATGGCTTCAGCCAATATTCAGTTTCTTTGGGCATCTTTTCACCCAAAGGTCTGCCTTATAGGTAACCCCAGGGTCAGCGAAGCCCCTAAAGAAGACTGTTGGTGTATATTTCAGATCCTCATTGAAAGAAGAGAGAAGTCCCGAGGGTGAATTTTTAGGGACGGCTTCTAGACCTTATAGATGAGTTGGTTCTTGACAATATTTAGTTATGTCTGCATGAAGCAGGCTTGATTCAGACTGATAAAAGACTTGTAATTTCCTGGATTTTCTAGTTTAATAGTCGATGAGTTCCAGAGGAAATTAACCTGATCTGATGGACATTAGAACTAAAAGTAAAACTCTTCCCCAAAGACTTCCAGGAGCCTCAGAGAGCTTGGCCAATTGGAGAGAGGAAATACTGTGTTTATGCTGTACATTTCCCAAGAATTGTGGATCATGACATTTTAGATCAAATGGTTAGCGCACTGTAAGATTCTTGATAACTCTTCTGTGTGAGGCTGCTGTTCCCCAGGGAGGAAAGTTATAGTGTATAATTTCTTAGTCACATTTATGGCAGCAGCCTTTCTATATAGGGAGGCTCAAATCCATCTAAAGAATTTACAGACAATTACAGGAACATATTCTTAAATATATCATCTTTTATTTGAAAGGTTTACTGGAGTGTGATTTAAACCCATGATTCACTGCACAATTTTTCTGGAATGTGATATCCAGCTACCGAGGAAATTTTTTCCCATCAGCTCTTGTTCAGAGGCGACCTTGTCTCTTCTATGATGAGATCTGTGATGTTTGTCGATGACCAGCTCGGGCTTGGGGGCACATCACAGTTGGTGTGCAGAAGACCATTGAAGTGGACAGAGGATCCTGCCTTTAGGAAATGTTGGTGTTTCTAAGTCTGAGGCTCATTTTTTTATGTCCAAAATGGGTTGTGCAGATGTTTATTGATCTCCCGTTTCCTGCTTTATTTCTACAGACTACAACTGTTTTCCAGAATGACCTGCCAACCCATTTCCCTTCACTTGGTGGAGATTTTATTTTACTAGAAAAAATAGGAATCTCTTGTCTAAAAGATCCCATGTGTCCCCCAAAGTCCATGAATTGTAATTGAATTTTTGGTCCTGGGTATTGCTGAACAATTTTACACTCTCCTTAGCTTAGGTTCATTCTTTAGTAGGACACTTATGTTCTAAGTAGTGTAGCATCTTTTGTCAGAATTAAAACTTTTCCTTTGCTGCCTTATAATCTTTTGCTCCTGGTTTCTTTAAGTCTTCTTAGAGGCTTCCTAGGTCAGGTGACAATATGCATATTAAATGAAAATCAAATCTCCTGAGAATATTGTTTTTAAATCAAATTTAAGTACTAGGAGAGGAATCAAGGTGCTGCTGTGAATCTTTAAGGTGTTCTGACCAAGCATGTTGTTAATTATTCCAAGAAATGTTGAGTTTCTATATACTTTGGTATCTCACCTCATAGATGCCAAGGAAGGGAGAATAGAGGTCTGCACTGTACAGTACTAGCATTCCGATGAGACTGTAGATAGGACATTGTTAGGATTTGGTGCTACCAGAATCCTAGTCTTCAACAATATCCCTTTCCTTTGGGCTTCTTGACAAGCAATATTACAGGTAATGGTACAAGGAATTGCTCTAGGTAGGAGGTTATAATTGCCTTTATTCTGAGAAAAACTAATAGCTTCAGGAAGTAGTCTGAGCAATGGTTTAGAAGAACCCATCTGAGTCTTTATAGGATCCACTTCCATAATATGAACACCCTGCATTAGACGAGTGTGTATCTCATAAATGGTCGGGTAAAATCAGAGTGTAAGTCAAATGTAGCAATTACATGATTGTGAAACGGACTTTCCAGCAGTTCCTCTGGAATTTTCAAGAGTAATCCTTCAGATGCACTTAATCAGACAATTCCTTTTGCGTTAAAGATTTCTTCCAAGTTGATTGGCAGGGGTGGTATCACAAAGGAGACAGGAACGTGGTTCCTCTACAGCCCTATTGCGTAGACAAGGCTCAGACATGGGGAGAGAAGTAGATCAGTTCAAAATGTCCTCTGCAATACTACAGCGATGACTCCCAGGCCAGTTGTAGAATATTGCCGCAGGGTTCAAAGCAGAAAGAGTAGTGTTTGCATGCCTATTTGTTCTCCTGTGGTCACAGATAATTCTTGTTCTGAAAGTGGTAGCAGATACAATGGGCACCTAGGGGATCCAAAATCAGAGCTCGGTTTGTTGCTTACCAGGCAAGAAGGACCCCATCTCTTTGGAAAGGAACGTGAATCTCACTGAACCGGATGTAGGAGGGCTAGCTATAGCATGAAAAAGCAGCTTTGTCTCAGGGAGGTAAAAGCCAATGTGTTGGTCTCTGTCTGGCTCAGAAGCAGATCACAAAGTCCCTCTTGGTAGAGGCTGTGATTCAGTTTTGTGTCATCGACCCTGAGGGCATGAGCCTCAGACAGGTCCAGGGTAAGTTATCTAACGTCTTGGCAGGCTCGGGATCACACAGCGGACAAAACGCACAGGCTTCTCCGTTCACACACAGACAAATAAAAAGAGCAAACATTATTCTATTTGGGGGGGAATCTGTATTTCTATGCAAAAGTTAACTGCAAAAATATCTTTCTAGAAGACTGCTCAGCAAACTGATAACAGAGGCCAGCTCTTGGAAGGATGGTGATTTTATGTCTATTGTCGCTGCATAGTAAATGAATAAGTATTCATTGAATGAATGAATGAAATGTATTTATTGATTTACAATTGAAAACAGTATGGGGGAGAGTTAGAATTAAGCAAGTAGTGCTGAATTGTGTAGACAATTTATTTGAGAGGTCTGGCAGCTGAGGGGGTTGAAGTTAAAGGGAGGCTATTGTGGGGCTTTTCTCACCCCATATTTTGTTTTCCAGGGTTTCCTCACACCTTGATATGTTCCCTCAATAACACCTCCTTGGTCCCCATGACCTTCAAACTGCGCATCCCTGGCGACGGCCATGAAAGCATTTCAAGCTGTGAGCAATATACAGACACCAAAGGACCTTCTTGGAACAAGGAGGAAATACCCATAACGAAACCGAAAGAATTTACCATCACCCCCAACTGTGGCACCATTCGCTCCCAAGGATTCGCTGCTATCAGGGTAAAGTGCACACACCCCAGGCAGCTGAGCTCTCAGATGGCCACGGGGACCACACCCAGGGTTTGCTCTGCATGCCCAGAGCCGGTGGGAAGGAGCACCTCAGTTCACATGGAAACGTGGGCCTATCAGGAAACAAATCACTGTGGTGAAAGAAACCGGACGCAAATACATTGGGCAAAAGAACTGCCACCACTCCGTGGATTTCCATCCACCTCAGTGTGTGGCCTCCACCAGATCAGGGGGTTGTAGGGTTTTCTAGTGAAACCACTGCTCTCCACAGACAGCGCACCCATCAGCACAGATATAACAAGGTTTAAGGACTCAGTGATAATTAGGACTTCCTTTCCTTTAGACTCAAATCATTTATACCAATAAATGTCCACATTCGTGCCACAGATGACATCCCATTGATTCAGGTTTTTAGGCTGAACCTGGGCTTCATAGTGAATGTGGATGCCATGTTTCTAACAGGGCTTAATATTTGTCTGTCAGTGCCGCCAGCAGAATTAATTCATGGCTAACTGAGAAAGTTTTCCTGTCTTCTCTCACTGACTTTTTCTTCTCCAAACAGTCAGATCTAGCAATATTGAATGCTGCAAAATTGAAATGATTTTATCTTTTCTGGAAAAGAAAAAAAGATAAGACTTTATAGCTAAGGTTAATATTTTCCTCTTTAGTCACTGTCTGTGAATATTTAATTTAGCTATGGTTTTATCCCCCCCAAGATTGTTTTAAATGCTTCATAGTATCTCACCATGAATCCACTCATCCTAACTCTTTTCTGGGAGGTTTTTTGTTTGTTTTTAGCTCTTTCAAGGGCTTCTCCATGGGTCCAATGAGGTTCATATATCGGTATAACCTCTCAGGATTGCTATCGCAGTCTATTTGGGCTGCTCTTATAAAATACCAGAGACCGGGTTTCTTATAAACAACAGATTTATTTCTCGTAGGTCTGGAGGCAGGATGTTGAGATCAGGAGCCAGCATGCTTGGGTTCTGGTGAAGGCATTCTTCCAGCTTGCAGGCTGCTGACTCTCCTTCCATCCTCACATGGTGGAAGGGCTAGGGAGCTCTGTTGGCCCTCTTTTATAAGGGCACTAATCCTGTTCATGAAGGCCCCACCCTCATGACTTAATCACCTCCCAATGGCCCCACCTCCTAATACTGTCACATTAGGGGCTAGGATTTCAACATAGGAATTTGGGGAGGGCACAACTATTCACAAATCATAGTTGCTAACTGTGAATTTCCCAGAGAAAAGTGCTGTTGGCAATGAATTTATTTAAATTTTTTATTTCTTAATGCTCAGCCTACCTGTTAGCTACCTTCCCCCCCCCCTTTTTTTGCCTCTCTCACATAGTACAGGAAGATTTAAGAAGACGTAGATCTATCTAGCAGCCTTCTGCCAGAACCACATGTTTTTCTGCCTCCTAACCACAGCTCAGAGACATAAACAAGGGCAGATCACTCCAGGAATCTCTGCACACAGGGGCAGCTGCCTCTCTCCAAGTCTGACACGTCTTCTTTCCAAATCAATGACCCCCATCTTCACTTTATTTTTCCTTTCTATTTGGAAAAGCTTTCTCCAAGCTTCAATTTTCCCTCATGATCTGTACTCCAACCACGTCTCTGTGGACTCAACTTTGCATCCAGTAATTCCCTCTGCAACTAAAAAAAATTTTAATTAGTACCTGATACATAATGTATAGCTAGAAAAGCCTTAACCTGTGCCAGAAGCTGTCTTCTAGACTTACACGCATCCCTTCCAGTACAAATCATTGTGAAGCAATTAAAATCGTAACAAGGCTTCAAAAGCCTAAATGTAATGTTGCACAACAGTAAATAAAACACGGGGTGAAACATACTGGCCAGATATTGTCCTGAGGCAGGCCTTTCGTTGGCACCTCTATTTTCTGCTTTAATAATGAATATGGGGGCGGGGACAAGATTTTGTTAAAAAGAAAAAGTCACACACATAACACAAAACTAGCTGATTTTCCATGCCATTTTCTGCTGCTGACATGGTTATGTCACGTATTTTGCTATAAGAGAAATTTAGCTGCAGTGTTTTATTGGTGTACTAAATTTTCATAATTAATATAGCCCAGAGGTATGGGAAACGACTTAAATTGCAATAATTAAAGTTTGCTTGATGTTGCTCATCCTTCATGGTCACTTCCCCCCCTTATGTAGGTACACGGCTTCTTTGATAACAACCTCCTCAGAAATGAGCCAACCCATTGTACTAAAAGCCACTGGGCTTCTGACCTGGCCTTTGAAAAAACTCAGCATGCCCTGACCCCGAAATGCAACTGGTTCAACTAAAAGTGTAAAATGCCATGCATCCCACCATCAAGTACTCGGAAGCCGCACTCCTCAGTGGGGTTGTCCCCGGGCTCCCCTCTCCCCGCTGCAGGGGGAGGGCTGGGCTTCTAGAAGAGCAGCTTTTCACCTTTTGCTTTCCAGGTGACCTTATGCTCCAACACTGTGCAGAAATACGAGCTGGCCCTGGTGGTGGACGTGGAGGGCATCGGGGAAGAAGTGCTGGCGCTCCTCATTACAGCGAGGTATCACTCACCTGCTCCCCTCTCCCCGTCTCCCTGGGCCCCAGGAAGGGCTGCCTCTTCAGAAGGCTGCAGGCCTGCAAAGGGCTCACACTGCATTTATTTGTTCTGCTTTCCCTGAAGGGAGGCTGAATGAGATTCAAATGACAAAGCTTTCAAACAGCAAACACACCTCCTGTGGAAATAAGAGAAGGGTGTGTGTGTGTGTGTGTGTGTGTGTGTGTGTGTGTGTGTGTGTGTTGTTCGAAGAATACTGGTGCTCTCTCTTTTTGACTTTCTGACTTTCCAGGTATATAACTAAAAGGATTTTAGCAGAAAGATGTGAACAGTTGCTGCTTTTTATTTTTATCATTAACTACAGTTCCCCTGAGGTCTGCAGCAGAAAGAGCGGTGCCCACAGTTCTGCAGTGGACGATCCATTTAGCAAGACAGTCCTGCTCCGGGCTGCAAGCGGGCGCCCAAACAAGGCCCTCTCTAACTATAAACGCCTCAGAACCATCACCAACTTCTCTATTTTAAAAAAATATATTTTTTATTGCTTTCAGAGAGGGAGAGAGAGATAGAAACATCAATGTTAAGAATCACTGATTGACTGCCTTCCTGCACAGCCCCTCCTGGGGATGGGGCCCGCATCCGAGGCATGTGCCCTGATGAGGGGTCAAATCATGACCTCCTGGTTCATAGGTCAACACTCAACCACTGAACCACACCAGCTGGGCAGTTTCTCTCTTTTTTAACGGAGACAGCAATGAGCTCTGGAGTCAGGTTAAGATCCTGGCTTGCTTTGTTGACTATGTCTCCTTGACCAAGTTACCGTCTTTCTACTGATGGTGACAGTGACCCTAAATACAATAATCGACCGCACTGTTGCCAAAGCAAACGAGGGTCCAGATCTGGGACTTTAGAGTGTACATATGAAAATGCCATCTAAAGGCAATAGAGAAAATTTCTGGCAATATATCAATTCCTAGAATTTAGGTCTGTCATGAATCTTAAGAAAATGCACCTTAAAGAAGGTGCAGACCTAGTGGTTGGTGGAGGCATCATAAGGGGCACCTTTGCATGTGCCTTGGGCTTGGACGAAGTCCAAGAGCAGCCCTAAAAGAACTTGAAGGTCAAGGTCTTGTCCTAATCTATTTACTCAGTATTCCTTCCAAACACCTCAGTAATTTCTTTGTTTGTTTAAAAAACATGCAGAGTCTTTCATCTGGTCCTGTCTATACCCAAGTTGGCCTTTTTGTCTAGTCTTGCATTTTTCTATGTGGGTTTATTCTGATACTCTCCAGCCTCTTTCCCCTACAGCTATCAATAGGAAAAATCCGATTTTTTTTTAAAAGAAGGCCTGCCTGGCCGATGTGGCAGTGGTTAAGTGTGGAGCTATAAACCATGAGGTCGTGCTTTGATTTCGATCAGGGCACATGCCCAGGTTGCAGGCTCAATCCCCAGTGGGAGGCATATAAGAGGCAGCCGATCAATGATCCTCCCTCATCACTGATGTTCCTCTCTCTCTCTCTCTCCCTTCCTCTCTGAAAGCAATAAAAGAATTTTTTTTTTAAAAAAAAGGCCCTAAGAGGCTATGAGTTTCTATCACGTATACTCTGTGACCCACGTCAAGTGCTAACTATGACCCCTCTCAGCCACAGCATTTCAGGTAGTAAAGGATTCGCTTTTGAAAGTCACTGGGCCAGCTGACAACTTCCATTTTAGCTAAAAACGAACACTCATCCCATGTGGAATCTCCAGCTTTGGGGTCAACAGGACTCTCCTTCCTGTCATCACAGTACTTCTCTGTAATCTGTAGAAACTGCTCAAACGCTCTCAGCAGAGAATTGCTTTTCGAACTTGCCCTCTCAAGTGCTTTTCCCAGAGAGCCAGCAGTGATGGCTTGCCGGGCCCCCTCCCGCACACCAGTCGCCTCTTACTGAGCCCTCCCGTGGCACTGTGCTAGGCCCTGCATTCACATTAGCTCCTGTATTTCCCACGGTTCCCTAAGAAGAGTTTTTGATGCTGCTGTCAACCCCTGGAATGACCTGCATTTTATTTATAAGCAACATGGGGCACTAGGAGGGAAAACAACTCGCGCAAGGTTGTGCTTGAACCTGGCTCTGTCTGCCCCAAATGCCAGCGCTCCTCACCACGGTGCTATATGGTGACAGTGCAGCCGGGCAGGGCAGATGCTGAGATTCACAGACACAAATAAAACCCAAGCCACCTAATGATAGACCAGCTGCACACACAGGGCTGCAATTCCTCCCTCCAGCGCCCCCACACCCTCTGTTGCCAGGGCACCAGCACTGGGTCGAGCAGCTGCCTGAGCCTGCTGATCCAAGACAGCTGTTCTGCATAGGAATTAGAATTATTACCATGATTTAGCTGGTGTGAGCTGTTACCAGCCCTCAGGGGGCTCTGGCTGGTCCAAAGTGTCACAGCCAGTTAGGACCCCACGCTGGTGGCATCGCCCCTGTTTGTCAGGGAAACAGGTTCACTACCCTAAGGAACCTGTCCTGTGGGGGTCCCTTGCCAAAGGAAGGCGAAGTATGAAAAACAATGGGAATGTTAGTCATTACCCACAGATGACAGCTGTTTAAGGAGTCCTGCTTCCAGCCCTTTTTTGATTAAAAATGATGACTGGGGGCTGAGGGAGGGAGGGAAGGCAAGGAGAGAAGATGTGAAAGTGATTAATGTAGTTATTAGAGAAAAATACTATGTGACAGTAACAAATGTGTTTAACTTGGGACTCTTCGTTCCCCATATGTAAACAAGCTTTCTGTCCTTTTAAATTCTTTAATGGGCTCCTTCCTTTGAGCAGGTGTATTGTACCTGCCCTCCGCATGGCTAACGCAGAGGTGGACTTCGGGCGCTGCTTCCTGAAATACCCGTACGAGGAAACCATCCAGCTGGTCAACCCGGATGACCTCCCGGGATGCTATGAGGTCCTGCCCCAGGTGAGTTACTGGACCCTTTTCGGTGTTGATTTTTCTGCAGTTGGATTCCCTCAATAAGAAAGAGATGTCCTTCTCAGGGGCCATATTCCTAAACACGTGACCTTGTGTCATTCTGACTTTTAACCCTGGGATAATCTGGGGATGGGGTCATAAAGCCACAGCTGGCTTGCCACCTGCAAGCGTGAGCAGCTGCAGGTGTGAGCAGTTGCTAATTTCCCAGGAAAATTGCCTTTGACAAAGAAAGCGTCAATTAAGCCAACACGCAGAAGTTGCACCTGCAGATAATTGCCTGGGAATGAGCCATGCATGGGGAATGAGGCAGAGCTGGGGGTTTTCATTTATGTCCATGGCCGTGACGTGAACCGCTTCACTAAGATAAGGTAATGCAATATTTATATGCTAGACTAGAAGGCTAGAGCTATACAGGAGTGAGGAAGGAGAAAGTGCCTCTTAATATTTTATGAAATAGATTGTCCACACGCCACTACCTCTGGCCAGGTGGGAGACTAAGCAGTCAAATGCGCATGGACTAGAGATTTTAAAAATCTTTTGTGCAACCCAGAGGAATGGAAGGTTCCTAATGAGATGCAGCTTACCCAGAGCGCATTTGGGTTTGAACTCAGTTCCGTAAGGACAGTACTCTGATAAAAACTCATGCAAACAAAATCAAATGGGGGACATTTGATTTTGGCTACAAGTTCAAAATGAGTCAAAAGACCAATGTGGGGACCACAGAACCAAGGCAGGCTTAGGCCCATCAGAGAAACATGTGTTTAGCCAGAGAAAGGAGGTGGCCGCCATCAACGCAGAAATTTGTCTTCAGATCTTGACATTGTATTTTTGTAATAGAAACCTGGGTGGAAAAAAATGAATCGTGTTCCAAGTAACCAGAGTGACAATCTATGTGATCTGAAAAATCCAAGTCATATGAGGGGCATACGTAGTATTTAATCTGGAACAGATAAGACTTAACCCGCCAAAATAGCTACCCTTCATCAGCCGAGGGGCTGGTATGTAAAAGAGGGGATTGCAGATGTTCTGGGGGCAAGGGTGGGGGGGCCACAGGGGACAACTTCTCCAACTTTCAGATGCTTAACAGCACAGCAGGCCAGCCCTGCGCAGAGCAGGTCACCTCAACAACTCTGAGCAGAGCCTGCATCTGGGGTGATAGGGAAGGTATTTCTGCACAACTGGGCTGGGGTAAGGGTGAGGTGCTTGCCTCAAGCACAACATTTAAGGTGGAGCCAAAAAAATTCAAAATGATCAAGATTAACATTTTCATGCCACATTTTATGAAATCAATATTAATGAAAAGTCCATGATGAACGAAATATAAAAACTTTATATAAAGGCAGAATCAGTATTACTGGTTTTCCTGTTGCCTCAAGCTCCAACGAGGCCGGACAGGGCACAGCTGCAGAGGGACGTGCAGGTAGATGAGGCCGCGTTAACCCAGTCCAGGCAGGGAAAGACGGCGGGGTGCTCCGGTCAGGTGACACCTGCATGCTCTGCCGTCCTCTCTAGGAGCCGAGCTTCTGAGGAGTGCTTCCCAGAATTCCCTAACCTTATTTGGCCATGGGGTTTTTAAGGTTCTGTTAGTGGTTGTTGTCATTGTACAAGAGCTAGTGATAGGCTGGGCAGCGTTCATTGGTAGACACTGGTCAACATTCATTCATTTGCCCACCTATTTCCCCATTTAAAAACCCATTTAAAAAACATGTACTGAGCATATGTTTTGGGCTAGAAAGTGGGCATTCAGAAGAGGCTCAGGTTGTGCCCTAAGGAGAGTCCAGCCCATGGTGACGATGGACACATCGATAGTGTGGGCTGTGGAAAAGGACTGCAGGATGCTCAACTCCAGGGCACAGGGGATCCCTGGGGGATTCAGGGTGAGGGTGCAGGCAGGTCGAAGGGAGCAGGCATTTTAGGAAGAAGCATCACGTGCAAAGGGCTGGAGGTAGGGGCAGCACCATGTGTTCGGGAAGTACCAGTGGCCTCTCTTGGTGGAACACAAAGGGACGAGGTGGAGGGAGTGTGGAGGGCCAGGTAGGGAAGGTGGCCATGGGCAGCTGCTGTCCTGAACTGATTCATGTTGTGGATAATCTCTACATCCTTTGTGCACTTTGAATTTAGGGCTTTATGCACACTCAACTCAACCAAACTCCCTTTTGGCAGAATTGGGGTGCTCACCCCTACATACTTGCTTGAACAATGAAACATTTCTAGAGAACCTCCATGGACACAGGACAACACTTGTTTCAAAATAATCTGATCTGCTATTGATTGTATACCCTGCCGGGGGCTTGCTGATCTCTCTGGCTTGTCTCTCCCACCAGGTAGATGAGGACTCGCCCGCTGTGCTGCTCTCTAGTCCCAACCCCTATGGAATCATCCCTCCCCAGAGCACCGTCCACATCCCTCTGATCTTGGAGACCCAGGTCACCGGGGAGCACAGGTCCACGATTTACATCTCGGTCTTCGGGAGCCAGGACCACCCTGTGGTGAGAGACGGTTTTCAGATTGCAGTCACAATTGCTGTACTTCTTACCAAACCACACGCCTCCGCTTTTAAGGCACAAGCCATATTTGCATGTCCTCCCGTTGTTTGTCGTTCTAGAATTCTACACATTCACTCCCTGGTAAAAAAAAAAAACGAGCAGTACGGTACTTGGGGAATCTATTTGCGGTAACTCCAAAAGAGTGGTGTTTGTAGCACTTGTTCTGAAACCCCTTTAAGGAGTTTTTCACACAGACATGCCTGACCCTCTCCAGACCTATCAGGTCGGAATCTCTGCCAGGAGAGCACACCTGTATATATATTTAAAATGAGTGATTCTCTTTTTTTTAAAAAAAATATTTTTTTTTATTGAAAATGCAGCTCGTGTGAGGGCCACTTGCTGAGCAGCCAGCACTTTACGAAAGAAAAAGGCCCCTTTTCTGGCTGTGGAGCAAGGTGGATCTCAGCCCCCAGCCTGCACAGCTGTGTGCGGCGGACAGCCCTGTGTGCCACTGGACAAGCCCCAGAACGAGGCTCAATCCAGCCACTTCCGATTCTTTTTTAAAAAATATATTTTTATAGATTTCAGAGAAGAAGGGAGAGGAAGAGAGAGATAGAAACATCAATGATGAGAGAGAATCATTGATCGGCTGCCTCCTGCATGCCCTACACTGGGGGTCAAGCCCTCAACCTGGGCTCGTGCCCTGACCCGAAATCAAACCGTGACCTCCTGGTTCATAGGTTGATGCTCAACCACTGAGCCACGCTGGCCAGGCCACTTCCTATTCTTAAGCGCCAGTCCTCAGCCCCATGCTGAGTGTTCTTGAGGCTGGAGTAGTGGGTGGCAGATAGAGGACCGTTATCTGGTTTCCCCTCGGTGCACAGCTCCGGGCTGACCCAGGGAAGCAGACCACCCTGGAGGGAGTTCAGACTGGATTCAAAGGTCTGACCGGCATGGCCGTCCCTGTGTCCCTCTGACCGCAGAGTACCGGGGGAGGGAGGTCGGTCCTCCTGAGCACCCTTTTGTGCCCCTGCTTCTTGCTGAAGACGTGGCTAGAAACTTCTGTTTCAATCGAATCGAAAGGCCAGCCATTTTCAGCTGTTCCCGTGTTCTTTCTGTGTCTGGGAGCGCAGGTGTGCCAGCTGAGGAGCATCGGAGAAGGCCCAGTTATCAGCGTCTGTCCCCACCAGGTGGATTTTGGCAAGATCTTCGTCCTGAAAGAGTCCTCCAGGGTCATCAACCTCTCTAACCAGTCCCCCATTCCTGGATTATTTCAGGCACACATGGTGAGTAGGCTGTGGGACTCCCATGTGATTGAAATACAGCCCTGCCTTTGCAACAAGCCTTTGAAAATGACCACCAGACGCAGTTACCTGGTTCAACTGCATGCAACTGTGTCATTCTCATCCTCAGTTCCTTTCCATGGTAGTCATTCTGTTGACTAAGAAAAACAATATGCATGTGCAAAACAATACGCAAGCAAATATATTTACTGTCCCAGAGATTTCCTTACTGAACTGCACCCAAGCCCAGCCCCACATCTCAAGAAAACACCTTTTACATGTCTCTGTCACTGAAAATGCTTCCTTATGTGTAATTTGAACACTTTTGGCTACAAATTTGTTGGTATGCTTGCTTTTATTCTCTCTTCCTTCTAGCAATAGTTTAACATAGTGTATAAGGATGTATGAAATACAATAAGGTAGTATTTGCCAAAGGTAGAAATTAAAGAGTGAGGCAAAGATAGATAGAAAATAAGTCTGTCTTATTTCTGTGTATTCTGTAGTGACAGTTAGACTTGCAGGTCTTCTATAAACTAAGTTTTGAACAGGGATAATATATTCTTTTTGCAGAATTTAGGAATTTCTAATCCAGTAATTGAAGTATTCTTGGTTTTGGAAAACATTTTCTAAATTTAAGTATAACATTTCAAATAGTATAGCCCTTCTCCTATTCATAAATTATTGACATTTGAATGAGTGCTAACATTTGATTTTAGTATTTGTCAGATATTTTTTTTAATTTTATAAAAGTCCCTGTCAGAATGAATAGGATCATAGTTTTCTGCTGACTCATGACAGCTCATCAGAGTCATTGGTCCCAATTAGCAGCCATTCACCATGATCATTGTTCCACTTTATCACCTTTTGTCATTGCTCCTTGTAGAGACAGCCATTTCCCAGTCACTGCTCTTTTTAACATGAGGCTCAGACACAACCCCACTCTCCTTCCAGTGCCTTTGGACCTTGTGTAGAGAATAATTAAAGAAAATTCCTACAGAAAAGATGCCTTTGCTAGTGTTAATCCAATTAATTGACGTGTTTGGTGGAAAGCATGGGTGTTGATGGGTTTGGTGAATTGCTTAGGACGTGTTGCTTCCAATTCAGTTTCTTAAAAAATATTTTTTTATTGTTGACTGTATTACAGATATTGCTGATAGATATCCCCCTAATTCCCCCACTTTGCCCCTCTCCACCCAGTCCCTGCCCTATCCCAGACCATCCCACACTATTGTCTGTGTCTATGGGCTATGCATATATGTATATAAGTTCTTTGGTTAATCTCTCCCCACCTCCCCACCTCTCCCCACCTCCCCACTCCTCGCATCTGAGCTTCTTCAGTCTGTTCCATGCATCCGTGCCTCTGGATCTATTTTGTTCATTAGATTCCACATATAAGTGAGACCATGTAATATTAGTCTTTCTCTGACTGGCTTATTTCACTCAGCATAAAATTAGGTCCAACCGTTCTGTCACAAAGGGTAAGAGATCCTTCTTTTTTACAGCTCCGTCATATTCCATCGTGTGAACATACCACAGCCGTTTTATCCACTCATTTACTGATGGGCACTTGGGCTGTTTCCAGATCTTAGGAATTGTAAATAGCACTGCTATGAACATAGGGGTGCATACATTCTTTCTGATTGGTGTTTCAGGCTTCTTAGTATATATTCCTAAAAGTGGGGTTGCTGGGTCAAACGGTAGTTCCATTTTAAACTTTTGTAGTAAATTCCATACTGTTTTCCATAGTGGCTGCACCAATCTGCATTCCCACCTGCAGTGTATAAGCATTCCCGCTTCCCCACATCCTCGCCAGCCCTTGTTGTTTGTTGATTTATTGATGGCAGCCATTCTGGCAGGTGTGAGGTGAGTCCAGTTGTATGTGTAGCGTTCACATTGGTGGAGCAAAAGAGTATTTTTGGTACATTTCAATAACAGAGAGCAGGTCAAGGACCTATTGTTGTTTTGCTAATCTATTGAATGACCCAACTAGGTGTTAAAGTGGGACTTCCCCTTTCCACAAAGGTTTCGTGATGCCATCTTTTGATTCTTTCACATCATCTTAAGTCAGCAAGCTCCGGTTCCGAGGAGCCAAATGTGTGCTCTAAGTCAGCGGTCGCCACCCTTTCGGACCTCGCGGACCACCGGTTGGCGACCGCTGCTCTAAGTGACCTGCTGTAGAACATGCTTTCCCCTCAGTCCTGTCTCAGAAAGCCGGTGTTTATTGAGTTGACTGCCCTTATAGCATCAAAGTTATTTCAACTGTAAGTCTCATAGGTGAAAATGAAACTTCATATTTCCACTGGGATTTTTGCTGGATTTCCTAGTAAATACTATATGTGTTAATGTTACAGAAATCAAATTACACTAACTTAGAAATTAACTACAGTGGGAAGAAATAGAAATAACTTATTAAATTTCAACTTAATATACAATACTAAAACTGCAGATTCATTCTTACAGAAATTACTAAGCATTAGGAAATAGTTTTTGTTTTGTTTTTAAATCCTCACCCAAGGATATTTTCCCCCATTAATTTTTAGAGAGAGTAGAAGCGGGGGAAAGACAGAGAGAGAAAAACATCGCTGTTACAGACATATCAGTTGGGGCCAAAGATCAAGCTTGCAACCGAAGTATGTGCCCTTGACTGAATCAAACCCGAGACCTTTCAGTTCACAGGCCAACATTCTAACCACTGAACCAAACCAGCCAGAGCAAGAAATAGTTTTAATTAATAGTTGTCTTTTCCCTAGCTAAGCCTGCAGCTCAGAACCCAGGTAAATTGTGGTCAGATATTTCCTGCACTTAATTTCTAGCTCAGTGAGAAATAAGTAGGTTCAAGAACACACTGTTCACCTCTCTTATTTCTATGAATTCAGGTCTAGAAGTTCTTTTCTTTCCCTGTGGCTGCCCTGACGGGAGGGGTCATCCTCTCTCCTCTTTTGGCTGCCAGTGAAAGTCAGCCCTCCCTCCCCAGCTGCGGGCCCCACTGTCAGCCATCTGTCCTGCTCAGCCTTGCACATCAGGACAGACACTGTGATTAGATTCTCCCTCAGGAAGAAACATCTGTTTGTTTTCAGTTGGAGGGGCCTGGAGATGGGAAGCTGGAAGCCCACCTTCCCTGTGATGTTGGGAAGATAAATGACCCAAAGAGCGATTTTGAATTTCTCAGAAATAAATGCTATACAAAAAAAATTGATTTTTTTTTTTAAAAACACTGAATTCCTTGGTATAATATGTGTGAAGATTGTATTTTTTTTCTCTGTTCCATTAAAGCTTAACTTATCCTGAGAGTTAAAAAATTGATTAGCAAAAGAAGAGTGTGTTGTGGCCGGGAGCAGTAATTTCTCCGTTGCTGTGGAATGCCTGAAATACCAACCTCCCCAAAGGCTTCCCAATGCAGACTTAGAACAATAGAGTGAGTCACCTTGGTTTGGAGGGTAAAAAACGCCAGAGTGTGAGCGCAGAGCACAAAGGCCCTCTTGGCAAGAACTCGCGGGCTCTGCTTGTACGCAGGGTGCTCCTCCGGGAAGACGGATGTCCTTTCTCCGGGTGACACCAGAAATGAGGGCGAGAAGATGGTGGCTCCCCAGGGCCCGGCCCTCAGCGCTGGGCTGGACACAGACGCCTTGTTTGCATGGGTGCCCCTCGCCAGGTAGAGCAAGCGCCTTCATTCATTGCTCAGCACTTGGTTGAAAGCATCTGGAGCCCTTTCCCTTTTCCTCTGGGCTCTAATGCAGCCTCGGGTACCGTTAACTTGAGAACATGTATGCAGATGTCAGCGACACCTTGGGATCCAGCGGGCGCTGAAACGTCTCCACAGCGACCTTCTGCCTCTGTGGTCTGCGGGAGAGGCCGTGCAGTTAGATTGGAGTTTTCAGGATCCAGGAGACAGGAACTCTGTGCCTCATTCAGGCGTGGCGCTTTTTAGGCATCTGTATTCTTGGTCACTTGCCAGACATCAAGGGAATCGTTGGGCCTTTACATCTCCTGCAGAACCTAAGCCACCAGGTCATTTCTTCGTTCAAATGGGGACCCCCTTTCTATATTTACTTGTTTATCTGCCTGTCTCCTTCAAATGACAAGGGTCTATCCAGGGGTCCTCAAACTTTTTAAACAGGGGGCCAGTTCACTGTCCCTCAGACCGTTGGAGGGCCAGACTATAGTTTAAAAAAAAACTATGAACAAATTCCTACGCACACTGCACATGTCTTATTTTGAAGTAAAAAAACAAAACTGGAACAAATACAATATCTGTATTTGCATGTGGCCCGCCGGCCATAGTTTGAGGACCCCTGGTCTATGCTTTGAGTTCCCTACACCTAGCAGCAGGATTGGCAGTTATAAAGATGACAATACAATGACATTAATTATGACTAATGTTTATGTCGTTCTGTTTGCAACTTTAGATGCTGCATTTCATTTACTATGACTCTGAGAGAAATACCATTTCAATGCCCATTTTAACCAGGTAGAGACAGAGGAGCAGACAGGTTAAGTAAAGTGCCATAACCTGAAGTGGCAGAGCCTGGTCCTGACTCCTGGGGGTCTGATTCCAGACCTGTGCTCTCTTCCCTGGGGCTGCTGTGCTGCCTAACTTTGCCTAATCAGTGGTTACACTAGTAAAAATGAACTTAGAAATGGTGAAAGGATTTTGGTTTGGGGTTCATAAAAGACCCTTAAAGATAGACACCTAGCCCGGCCAGCGTGGCTCAGTGGTTGAGCGTCCACGTATGAACCAGGAGGTCACTGTTCAATTCCCGTTCAGGGCACATGCCCAGGTTGTGGGCTCGATCTCCAGTGGGGGTCGTTCAGGAAGCAGCCGACCAATGAGTCTCTCTCACCATTGATGTTTCTATCTCTCTCTTCCTCTCTCAGAAATCAATAAAAATATATATTTTTAAAAGATAGACACGTAGAAGAGCAGGTTTTGCTAAAAGAACAAGAGAAGAAATTGAGCATTTCTGAAATAGACAAAAGGACCAGACAGTCTTCATTTTATTCAG